AAGGGCAAGTCAACCAGTGTGGGTGCTTCTGTCGGTGCTGTTGCAGGCCGGGCATCACTACGGTTGCTGGTGTAAATCCCGCATTACCCATAATAAGGAATATTACAGTAATGCAGTTTTTCTATCATCAATAGTAGATTACGGTGAAAGACACTCGGAGGGTGGCAGGTTCACTACTTCGCAGTGAGTCATTGGCGTCAGGGATCTTCACGCGGAGAAGCCTTTCATTCTGAATAAACGTCAAAAATGCACGCATCAAGCGGCACATGCCGCAAGCCTGTTATTTTGCAAAGCATGTTGCATGGAAGTTGAAGGATTTGTGCCCATGTGAGCCAGGTCTGGTGGTCATCACACCCGCAGCCGGCTTTGTCACACCCGGCTGGAGCATTGCCCTTGGCGTGTTGGGCGCGCCTTGGTGTTACTTCACTTGTGAGTTGGTGAACAGGATCAACTTGGTGGATGACACTCTTGACGCCTTCGGCTTGCACGGCTCTGGTGGCTTCGCCGGTGCCATCTTGACGGGCATCTTCGCAGTTGACGACGGCCTCATCTACAGTGGTAGCTTCCTGCTGTTGGGCAAGCAGATTGTTGGTGCGCTGGCTGGTGTGGCTTTCTCTGCTGTGGGCACTGCCATCATCATGGGAGCCATGAAGATGCTGTTCAAGCTTCGAATTCCAGAAGAGCACGAGATTGGTGGTGTCGACGAGCACACGCACGGTGAGACGTACCACAGCCCAATTAAGAAGTATTCCGCAGCTGCCCGCATGACTGAGTCGTCGGAATCATCAGAGTCCGACGCTGTCTGCTGAGCATGGAGAACATCCGCGACTTGCATTCCAAACAGTGCTGCGATGTCAGCTGTCTTTTGCGTAATTTGTTGCACTGTCCAAGCTATTGGACACACTTATATGACAGAGGCGACAAGTGCTTCTACTTTCGTCCGTGTGGTTGGAGACCGTGCGGGTGGGATCGGCATCAGTGAACAGCTGGCCATGACGAAGAAAATTTCATGCGGGCGCGCAGGAGTCAGTGGCTTTGTGTATGTTTTTCTGAATGCGCTTCGTTGATACGCTAGACATGTTCGGCATTCTCCGCTTGATGACCGACTGCGAACCGAGAGACGGCATCTGGCATTGTCCGAGATCTGAGAGCGTAAAGCTTGATGAATCTTGCAACCCAGATTCTGGAGGCTCTGAGGCTTTGAACGGCCAGGCCCTAGGCCTTCGCACCTTGAAGCCCTAAACCCTGGTACAGGATCCAAGCGACATTGGTATGTCTCCGCTTGCGCGCGATGACTTCAGTCACTTGGCGATCCGAAAACTCCGCAGGGCTTACAGGCCCTGGCCATTCCATCGCGTTTTCAGAGAGCCTGAAGTCGTTTCATGAAGCAGTGTCGAGCTCCTTTGAGTCGGGCCTTGCCGGGGTCTTCGGGAACCCTAAGAGCGAAGCTGCAACCCCAAACCCTAAACCCTCAACCTTTGCAGCAGTTGGCATCTGCCGTCTGCCCTCTGCTTCTCAGGCGTCATCTCTGAGCCCGACGATGACGATGGCAATCAGGACCCGGGTGATGCTTGCCTTCCCTACACTGTTTAGGTGTTTAGGGTTTGGGGTCTTCAGGGTTTGGGGTCAAGGGGTTTAGCGTTTGTGGGTCGTGACGGTGGAGAAAGCTGCCGACAGCGATGCCAATGCTTCAATGGTGATGATGGCGTTATGACACGTGCTGTAACCATTTTCACAGTGAGTATGGATCCGCCGTTGTCTCCAGTTTCCCTGACCGGGAGCTCTGTCTTGAGTCACCCCCATCGGGACTATAAACATTGAACCCGGGCACACTTCCCCAAACGAGCAACACTCCGAGAACCTTCGATTCGGAAAGCATCAACATGACCGAAAGCCGTCGCTTTCAATCACACGGACACGACTCCCTGCACCTTGCATTGGTAGGACAGCCGAACCCGAAGACTGTTTTACCAGGATGCCTAATCTTGAGGATGTAGGAAGCCTGTTATAAGGACCCTGCTACAGAAGCACCAATACAGGATACCTGTTGTAGGGACCCCAGTCAACCGTAAACCCTAAAGCCCAAATCTACTGTGTTTATGTTGATTTTCTTATGTACTTGCTCAGGCTATCCAGTGATGCGTGATAGGTTTGGGTGGTATATCGTACATGGTTTTAAAGGTCAGTACATGATGTATCGCGGGCTCCTGCAGCTTTTCTTACCCTGCTATGGACGTCACTGTAGAAATGTCGCAGTAGTAATATATGACCCATGAATCCGTGCCTGCCCAGTGCGCATGTGCGAGTCGAAACCCTGAACCCTAAACCCTAAACTCTAAACCCTAAACCCTGAGAAAAAAACCCTAAACCCTAAACCTTAATGAAGAGTAGCTGAGCCTTCGGGTGCTGGCGAGGATCAGACCGAAGAAGAGGCGCACCCGGCTTTTTTCCGCCGAGTGGTGGTTTAGAGTCAGTGCTTATATAGAGGCTTCGGGTTCGGGGTTTTAGGGATTCGGGTTTAGGCCCCTGGGTTAGGGGTTTAGGGGCCAGGGTTGAGGGTTTGGGGTCTAAGCTAAGGTTTAGGTTTAAGGGTTTTCCCGGGGATGTGGGCTCGGATTTGCAGTTCGAAACCTTGTGCTGCAAAAGTGGCAGCAGCTTTGGAGTGGTTCTTCGTTCGGACTTTGCCTAGGCTTCCAACCAACGTTGTTTTCTTCCGGCTCGGACCCATTACCCTCAACACTTGGGTTATTGTTCAGGAATTATACTCGTCTCAGGCCACCATGTAATTCGTTATAGATCCCCAGCACGATTATAGTAACTTGAACCAATTCCTAAAACTCAGCCACCCAGGGGTCCGCGTACTTGCCTCACCTGGATGGTCCCGAGCATGAGCGCCGAAGACCCCAACATGCGGTTGACTGTAAGAAGCTCCAATCCAGCCGCTCTCAACGACCGCCCAGGCTCTTTATGCTCACACGTTGCCCGGCTGCAAACAGGTCTTCTGAGACCCGCCATGTTCAAGCACCGCCTCCGTAAACACGGGTCCCTAAGATCTCCCTAGTATGTCTGGCCCTTTCTAGATAGGTAATCTATCAGGGGTCTACATTAGGGTTTGGTGTTGGTTCAGGGTTTGGGGACTTCCAGCCGTGGGCCGCCGCCACCTCCACCACCACCGCCACCACCACCACCACCACCGCTGCTTCTTAGTTTAGCAATGTTGTTGTCATTGTTATGATGGTGGTGTGTGCTTTTTTGTGTTTGTTACGATTACGGTTCGTCTTCTTGCTCTGGTTTTTCTAGCATTGCTATGAATAGTAGTGTATCGGTCTTGCTCCCCAAAGACTCCTGCCAAGGTGCATGGTCTCCAAAGGAGAATACCTGACGAGCGACCCGGCCCCGATTCGAAGCCGTACGGTAAGGCTCACACAGAGGCGTTTAGGGTTTAGGGTTTAGGGCCTGCATTGCATCCATAAACCCTTTCCCGATATGGCAAGCCTCAGTTGTTGAGAATCCAAGAAACAAAGTTTGAGCCGTAAACCCGTGCAGCTTTCAGTCCGTGATGAACCACGCCTGTGGCAGGCCCTTCCCACGATTGCTACCGTACTCGGGATTGTATAGCTGTCCCGTCGTCAGCTGCCGGAAGTGTGTCTTTCCACCTTCAACTTGGGGTGCAGAGAGAGAAGGAGCAAAACACCAACGCCTAAACCCCATAACCGGTAGCAGGCACAGACCTTCGTCAGCCATGCCAGCCTTGAGCGAGTGTGTGAGTCGGAAGCCCCATAGCCACCGGCCCTCTGAGCCCCAAGAGCCTACCAAAGGCATGCTGCTTGAGCCAGAGATTGTTCAGCTGGTGTGGATGCCGTGGGCCAAG